TGACCTTTCTATCAATGTGAAAGTTAACTTGTAACTTTACCATTGTATCGCCAGATGAAAATATTACTGATTTACTTTCTTTAAAAGTGGTGATTGTTTTATAACTAAAACTTATTATGTTCCTGTATAAGACGAATATTGCATTGTTTTTTTGTGGTATTATTTCTTCTATAAATAGTAATCACAATTTAGAGTTTCCAAACCAATTTTTGATTTACACTGTAATTTTAGAAGTGATTATGCAGCAAAAAATGTCTTCACAACACCTGCCAAATAATATACATAGCGAAAGTTGAAGTTTTAACTTTCTCATTAGTACTTGTATACTGCGATATTATCTTTAGTCACGAGAGAGAAAAATAATTGTAGCTGCTTAATTACTATCTAAGTTCATCTTAATTATATATTTATTTTATAAAATGCGCAAAAAGTACCCTTGAAACGCAATTAATGTAACACATAAAAAATATCTAAAAGTACGGACGAATGACTGTGGACAAATCTCAATAAAATGATGATGTTAACGTTTACTTTATTTAGTACTTCTACTATAGGTACTACTTACTAGGTACAAAGAACTTTGGTATTAATAAATTATGACAGTATTGCCTTTAAAGGTATCATTATATTTGATAAAAAATAATTAATTAATTGAGTTATTTGTATTATTATTGAGACTAGATTTATTGATGAACGTGTAGATTTTATTTTCCAAATAACTCAAGGCGCTTTGAGTGACGTAAAAGTGATAATGTAAAACCGCAAGTCATACAACTCAAAACGTCTTCCAGTTCCTAAGTACCTAAGAAGGAAATGTGACTCAGGCTGCATGCTTAGGTGTTTCCACCTCTACTGCGTATCCTATTTTTTAATATCCCTCGTCAGGGAAGTGAAATTTTCTTTAACTTGACAATCATATTCACCGAGAAATAAATCGCCATGGATCTCTACTTGGACACATCATCATGCATCATGCTCAGTATCATCATCATAGCGTTCCCAGCCCTCTACTTCTTCCTATCTTGAGCCAATCTTCGCATTTCTCCAAAACTCGAGAAATTATTTGCAAACGGTAATCTACTGTAAATCTACTCTAACCCTCTTAACTCCACTTTGTGTTTCTAATATGTCTCTAACCCTTCATGTCTGAGAAGGTGTTCTACCAACCTATCTCGCTTATTTCTTATTGATTTCCATAACGCCCTTTGTTCTCCGACTCTTTCTAGTATGTACTATATCATTTCTAACCGTGGTATTTTTAAGATTTTTCTATAGCACACATCCCAGGGGCTTCCAGCCTTATCTTCTTCCTAACACCCACCCTCGACTCAGGCCCCTACAGAGCTGTGCTCCAGACATATACCTTTAATAAATTTGGAATTTACAAATTATAAGTGATTCCTTTTTGTTAAAAACTACCCGAGCCTGCGGCATTTTTTGTTCTATATTTTTTCAATCCTGAGTTATCAAAAATCAACGTACTCTTTTGCATTATCAAGTGAAAACTGTCTACGCATAATTTTGAATCAAGCAATGCGCCTCTTGGATTATGTGAACGGGAATGATTGATTTATCGCTTTCGCGGATTAAGTTAAGATTTAGCAAGCACATGGATCAGAACTTCCAATGCATCGACCTTGGCTCATCAAGGCACCCTAATAGCTTACGCCCTGGAAGGAATTTAATGTCTGCTTTTCTTTAGAAATAGAAAAAGCACATTGTGACAAAGAAAATAATTTGAAATAGTCGGGGGATTAAAAAAGGGAATGAAATGCATGTATGCGCTTACCTTTCGTTGACTTTTCATGTAGAAATCGGCCTATGAATTTTATCCAATTGAAAACCGTTTTATCTAAAAGTTACACGTACTCACATAAACTGTCTACGCAAAACCATTTACACTACTCCACTTCTTAATAACGTGCCGAAATAAATTTCAAAGTAACAAGCAAATACTTTTCCAACATTATTTACATGTCCGCGTTACCTTTTGTTGACGCTCGCTCTTTTAGAACAATAGGCAGAAGTTTATCTTTTGTAGTTGAAGGTAGAAGCACCAGCTCAGAAGCAGTAATAGTTGCCTTAACTCTATACCTGTCACACATAATAAGCAAACAAAGAATTGTATTTCGTGTGCTGAATACGAAATGATGACATTTATAAATGTGTGGATCAAATATACAAACATTACGTTATTGTTGGCATATAAAATCAGCATCAATAAATGTAGCCACAGTAGGTAGCTAACTATCTACATTCCTACCACGTTAGAAAGGACATAATAATGACTTTAAAATTGCTATTTTTTAACGATAAATATAAATATAGAGCATGAGAAATGGATTCCTGTTCGTGAAAATGGCACCAAGAACTAAAAAACGTCTTTATACAACTTAAATTTTCGGAATCTACAGTTTAAACGAAAAATTTACATCCACATCCAGCTACGGAAATGGAAGGACCTCTGAAGAAGCATGCTACTCATGCTAGCGAAACGTTAAAAAGGAACTCTAATTGACAACGGCCTTTAGGTCCGAATCAGGACAGCATCAGTTGACCACCTGACCGCAAAAACTTTACCAGTTTGTTTAAACAAAGGAATTGTTATGAGAGCAAGAAAATTAAATTTAAACTGCAACTTGTCTTAAAGTTTATTATAGCAATTTCTTTTTGAATGTTCTATATCATTTAAGAGAGAATTAAATACATACACTATACAAAATTAAAAAGTTATCAAATTAAGAATTAATTCGCAACAAACTCAAATAAAATGGTCTCTGACATGTTTTGATATTGTACTGATGTAAATAACAAGTAATTGAACTTTTCTATTTTAAGTTTCTTTTTTGAATGCCGTTTTGTTTGTAATTGTGACAAAAATTTCCTAACGTCCCTTGTATTTAAACTCATTTTTGTGTTCAGGCAACACATCATACAGAGAAGTGTGCTGCATTGTCGAACTTTACACCAATAAAAACAAATTGTAATTAAGTATTAAATGATAATTGGAAATGGAATTTATTGAGAATATTAGGTATTAATGTACTTTAGTCGCAAAGAACAAACAGAGTAATCATTAAAAATACGCCGTCATTCCATTAATTCAAGGTTGTCAACGCCCATTGCCACTTTTTTGCAGGACTGTTTAGATCGTCTTGTAGTATTTCTCGCTAGAGATGCGAAGTAATTCTGATTTTAGTGGATATACTTAACAAATATTTTACTTTTAATTTTATTAAAGTAAAAATACATTGCTTTAAAGTATACGATTACTCAAAAAATCAAAATTCCACTAGAAATCGAATACTATGTAGCTTTGAAAACATCAAACACATCTCTAGATGACGTCTAAAAATACCAGAGGAATGAAATTACAAATGGCGATTTTTAAGGCGTATCAAACATGTGCTTAATTAAACTGTATTCTCCAACACAAATAAGCTTTAAATTAGATGCATGAGTGATATAATTTAATATAAGTAAATTGAATTTTATTAGTGTTAATAATTATTTGCAGTGTCAGTGTCTGTGATAATGGAAAATCTAGTCGATAAGGCTACGAACAATTTAGCACAAAAATGCACCTCAAATCCAATGTGTAGTGATAATAATTTAGAATTTGATGTAAGTGACGGTAGTGCATCCAATATGAAAGGAGATAATAACTCGAATACAGAAGATAAATTCAAAATAGAAGAAGTTGTAGCCAGTTCTTTAAACTCTTTTGAAGCATTTAGTTGTAGCAGTAAAGCAAATTTTGATGTAAAAGAGGAATTAAAATCTCATCAAAGTTTAAATATAATCAGTGAAGCATCCTTTGCTAACAGCCAAAACTCAGAAAAACGAGAGGAAAGTTTGACAATAAGCATAACCTCAAACCAACATAATGCAATAAATAATACCATAAACAACAACAAGAACTGCGAATATTCAAATACTGGACAATTAAGTGGCAACTTATTACCTACATCAGAAAAATCAACAGTAAACATGTCAGCTTTACTAAATTTATCTGTCTATAAGAGCGATTCAGAAGAGACTGATAATGATTCGAATAATTCAGAAAGAGAGAGTGAAAGCCAGGATATGATACCAAACTTAAATAAAAAGATACCAATGAATGAGAACCATGTTTCAAATAATAAACAAACATCAGCTTCATTATGTAATTATGTAATCTTCTCAGAAAGCAGCTCTGAGGACAGTAGCTCAGACAGTGAGTTGATAAATAAACCAGAGTGTGAAGAAACTGATGTGATACAGAACAGTGCCTGTTATCGTAAAATCAAAGAGTCTACAAGTGACTCTGAGACCAGCTCATCTGAAGAGAGGTAAAATTTATTTCATTCTTCTACATTATAATATTATGTTTATTTATTTACTTCAAAACCAGGGCATTTAATTATCACATATTTTACTTTATGTATGTAAGTTTATTTTACTTACTTTATGTGGTAAGTTGATTTACAATGGCATCTATTATCAATTTTAGTGAAAACGAGGAAGATGAACAAGAAGTTGAAGAAGCCTTAGTGAATACCACAAACACCAATACAGCTCATAAGAAGACAGAACTTCCACGTGTAAAAGGAGAATTAACTCTTGATGATTTACCCCCAGTTCCTGATTTGTCATCTTTAAAAATTGATGTCAAAGAAGAAGACTGCATTCAAATGGGAACAATTACCAGTATCGTTGACAAATTGGGTAAATTTCCACTGTTTTACCATAAAAATTTTTGTTATTATCTTTAAGACTGAATATTTTCTTAAAGTAATGGTTCAGTCATTGCCTGAGACACCAGCATATGATGTGGACACTTTACTCTTTTTGGAAAAGGGTAAACGTCCTTTGGGTCACGTCTATGATGTTATTGGTCCTGTGTCATCTCCTATGTATGCAATTCGTTTCAATTCTCGTCAAGAAATTGATACCAGAGGTATCACAAAGGAGCTTGCTGTATATTCGGCCCCTAAAACCGAACACACACAATACGTGTTTCTCAAAGAATTACTAAGGCATGAATTTCTCTTACTTAAAATTATTATTGTTTTAATTTTTGTTTTTTAATAGGTTCTAATGACAAAATTCAAAATTTGGATACTTTTTTGTTTTTGGAACAAGAATCTCATTAAGTTTAGAATCTTATTTTTTTTCTATAAAGTTATGTTGAAGTTTAGTATAAAATTGCAATGACTAGTGTGTTTTATTTATTTAAAAGAGCGTTCTATCTTATCTCAGGATCAAAGGATCAGACGCCTCTTGGCAAGGTGATAACGAAGTACCTCCAGAGTTTGTCGATTTTTCTGATGATGAAGAAGAGTTCAGTGTTACTAACTGCACTAACGACGAATACGAAATGTACATGAATAAAAGGAAACGAAACAGTCTTGAGCGTCACCAGATCTTCGAGATGGAAATGAATCAACGTAACAAATTGGACAGTGCTTATCACAAGTTAAAAGACTCTTGCGAACCCAAATATAAAAAGAACACAAACTCAAACACTCATGCTAACCGTACCTTTAATCCATTCGCAGGAAACACCACATACACACAACCCACAACGAATTTCGTGAGACCCAGTCAACCCCCAGCCGCCTTTGGGATATTACCCCAACCTCAGTGGTCTTTCGTTCCCACAATACCACCTCCCTCTCCAGGATTCGGGATGCAACCCCTCTTTCAGAATCACTTCTGTCAACCTTTTCCCACGTTCGCGAGTCAAGTGTTGGCTTTCCCACCTATGAATGTGCCGCCGCCATGCTCTGTGCCTCCGCCGGTTCCACCTACTTTACCACCCATGAACATTCCGCCTCCTATTGCCCAATCTGTGGCCTCGGCTCCCCCAACGGTTATGCCAATAAATCCACTGCCACCGGGTACCATGCCATTCCCCCATCAAGGCATCATTAAAAACGGGCACAATTTACAACAAACTGATCGAACAAGCAATACTCACAGGAGGCATGGTAATGGTTCCAGAAACCACTCTAACTCTTTGGGAAAAACGCAGTCCTCTGCTTCGATGTCTCAACAACAGCAAACAAACGTTCCTTTACCTAAATCGCAAACATATGGCCGTCAGTCCACAAAAGCAGCACCTCCAGTACCCTGTCGCCCCCCAATGCAAAGCCTTCCTCCTTCATTACGTAACGGTCCTCTTCCAATGGTAACAAATTATGGTATGCAACCGGTTTATAGGCCTTTTGCAAATTGTATGCAAACTCCCGCCCCAATTCCTCCTGGAAATATGAATTTCCGGCCCAATGGAAACGGTACCTCTATCCCCAAGACCCAGGGAACGGGACAGGTATGTCCCATGCCTTACCCACCGTGTTTAGGGCTTCCAAAGTTCACGACCCCACCTCCAAACGTCAGCTCAAATGGCAACCGAGCGATTCCACCCTCCGGCCCGCATTTTAGTGGCGGTGTGGCCACATTTGGTCACGTACCTCCACCCCCGTGTACCCAAAATGGAAGGTCGCGACAGAACTTAGGCTCCCAAAACGGTTGTGGTTTTTATAGAAAGCAATTCTAGTTATTTCACAGATTTATTAGTTGAGTTGTAATTTGGAAGTGGTTTTTTGGAGGTTTTCCTCTATATGTATATGTCGGCTTTTTTATAACAGTGGAGCAGGTAACTTCCAATAAGAAGATTATTAGAGAGCAGTTTCCTTTTAGAACCAATACGTTAATAAGAAACAAAAAATTAACAAAAAAAAAACATTCCATCTATTTATTCGTGTGGTAGATATGGGGTAGCTCAGACAGTG